AATTCAGAATGATAGTGCTCCGTTATTACAATATCATAATCATGAAACTTTTAAAAAGTTGGTTTATAAAAATCATGGCAGGTTTTTTTGTTGTGGTTCATTTGTTTGTTTTTTTAAATTGTTTTGTTGTTGTTTTTGAGATAGGGTCTCACTATATTTCCTTGACTTGCCTGAAACTTGCTATGTAGATCAGCCTGGCCTCAAACTCACAAAGATCTGCCTGCCTCTCCCTCCTGAGTGCTGGGATTAAAAGCATACATCTCCATGTCTGGCTGTTTGTTTTATTTTTTAAATAAGGTCCCTTTATGTAACTCTGGCTGACCTTGAACTCCAAGCTGGCCTCAAATCTGCAGCTGTCTTCCTGCTTCTACCTCCTAAGTTTTGGGGTTACAGACATTAGCCACCTGGCCCTGGAGTCATGGCAAATACTTACAAGCGAAACAGAGCACAACGTAGAGCCTACTGGTAGACTAGGAACAGGTGAAGGGATCTGGGTTCCAGCTCCTTTGCAGTCATTGTGAACTGCGGCACCATGTCTGCCACACTATTTTCCAGACTTGTCTTATCTTCCAAAAAGGAAGTATATATTAGATTGCTTTTATACTCCAACATTAATGCAAACTGTCATTCCTAATATAAAAATCCAAAATCTGAAATTCTCCAAAATCCAAAATTTTTAAGTACCAACATGATGCCACCAGTACAAAATTCCACACCTGACTTCATGTGTTGGTTGCATTCAAAATTTAGGAAGATGTACTACATATTTAGGCTCTGTATAAAACATGCTTATGGAACAGTGAATTTCATGTTTAGACTTGGTCTCATCACCAAGATATTGTATTATGCATAAGCAGATACCCCAAATTCTGAAAAAAAGTAAAATCCAAAATACTTGTGGGCCCCAATATTTGAGATAAGAGATGCTCAACTTGTATTTTGTAATTCTAGCTTATTCTTTACCATTTCAGATAGGTAAATATAAAATATATGTTTCTAGGATACATGTGATGAAACTGAATCTTATAATACTGTAATCAAAACAGAATAAAAGGAAGGCAGTTCATGTCAGAATCATAGTTCAAGATTTGAAAAGATAAATAGTCCAAATACCACATGTTTATATTTCCTTTCTTGTCCTTAGCCATCATTGGTATCGCAAGTCATGTTGACAATGCTCAGGCCTGTTCACTCTGAGCTTGGTATATATCATTCCCATCTAAGAGATTATGATCCCCTTCAAGAGATTTACAGGGAAGCTAAATGACAGTCTGTGCATATGCTTATTATTGATAGTTGAACTTTTGGCTGAAACCCAAGTTTGAACATCATTAAGTGTTAAAGGTAAGCAGTTAGTATGGTTCTAGTCCATATGCCTCTTAGGGATGTTGTTGAAGTGTCAAACATCATGACTTGTTTCTGTCATTGACAATATACTCAAGAATATTAATTCCAATAATTTAAGGTCACAACTTAATTTCTTGAGATTAAAAAATATGCATGTTTAATGCCCTAAAGGCATGACAGCACATATGATTGACTGACTGAAAGCTTGAATGTAGTTCAATGGTGATGCTAAAATATTGAAAATCAGTTTGATAAGGAATCTCTAAAGAATAAATAATAGCCAGGTATGGTGGCTCATACCTGTAATCTCAGCAGTCAAGAGGCTGAGGCAGGAGGATTGCTGTAAGTTTAAGGCCAGCCTACACTACGAAGTGAGACACTGTACCCCCCTCACATACACAAAGGATAAAAGTGAAAACAGAAACCCTGCATCAGTTGAGAAATAACAAAAAGTAAAATAGAGAAAATATATGCATTAAAGCTTTTAAATATGGTTAATATCTAAAATAACTTATTAAAATATGTAAGAAAATGCCAAATCTGCAATTTGATATAGCTAATGAAACTAAGAGATGAGTAGGCAGTTTACACCGAAGGAAAAAGTAATAAACACCTGGGAAAATGTTAATCTTGAAAGTACAATCAGAAATTCTAATTAAAACAAAAATTACAGTTCCAATTTTTGCTGTCAGTTACATCTGGTATGTAAAAATAAATATAATTCTATACAAAATGTTTGATGTACCCATACCTTGCTTAAGAAATCATTCCTCAACACCCCCAATTTATTTTCATAACATAGTTTGACCAAGTTATGGTAAAATTATTGCATTTTACACTATTGGTGGTCTTGTAAAAATATCATCACTGTTTTACCAAGCAATATGGGAATAATATCTATAGGTTTAAAAACACAAATATTTGGGCTGGAGAGATGGCTTAGTGGTTAAGAGCACTGACTGCTCTTGCAGAGGACACGGATTCAATTCCCAGCACCCACATGGCAGTTATGAATCGTCCTTAACTCCAGTTCCAGGGGAATCTGAAGCTCTGTTCTGGCCTCCGTGGGCATTGCACTACACGGGTGCACTCACATACATGCAATGAATACACTCATACACATAAAAATAAATAAAATATTTTTTAAAACACAAATATTTAAAATTTTTCATTTTTGTGTGTGTGGGGGTACCTTGGAGGTCAGAAAAAGGTGTTGGAGCTCTTGCAGCTAGAGTTACAGTCACTGTGGGTGCTGGGATCCAAACTCTGGATATCATGATAGAACAACAAGTACTCTTAACTGCTGAGCCATCTCTCCAGCCCGCCAAATATACATACTTTTTACTTAATGTTTTTATTAGGGAAATAATTTTTCAGCAAAAACTTTAGACAAAGTGATATTCATTTTAGGATATCTATGATGATCCTAAAAATTGGAAATGAACTACATGTCTATCACTTTGCTCTTTTCCAACAGCAAAATATTTTGGATGGAAGATTGAATTTTAAAAGCCAAAAAAGAATGGTGTTTGTTAGAATATAAAAAATGATTTCTATAAAGGTCAGTGTTTGAAAGGATTATACATCAGTTGTAGTAAACTGGTAGAAATATAGGTATTTCCTACTTTAAAATGTTTTATCTTAAATGTATTAAAATGTTAACATAATTATGACTTATATAATAGAAAAGTGTTATATATTAGGATAATTTTGCCTTTAGAAAGGTATGAGAAGCTGGTGTGGTTAGCACACAACTTTAATCCCAGCACTCTTTAGGTGAAAGCAGAGGTGGGTGGATCTTTGTGAGTTTGAGGCCAGCCTGGTCTACATAGCAAGTTCCAGATCAGCCAGGGTTACATAGTGAGACCGTGTCTTAAAACAAACAAAAGATAAATAATTTTCAATGCAAATAAAATTTAGTCTTGCTTTATCATTGCTATAGTAAGTCTTGTATAATACATTAAAATATTTGTGATATTAGAGAGCTAACATAGCTTTTGAGTATTTATCAATATTATTAATATCTTGAACTTAATATGTAAATGTCCTTATAGATAATGATTAAATATTTTCCTTAAAAAGTCCTGTCGATCCTCATTAGCAGTCTTTTCAGAAATTCTTAGGAATAGAACAGATATGTCTTATGGTAGGCAAACTTCCAATGATAAAGTGAAAAGCATTTTCCCCATCTACGGTAATGGCACAGTTTCTCATAAGATCAGTAAAGAACTTTTAACTTTCTGCTCAATGTGCCATTTTCAAATTTTACTTACTCCTATGATAAGAAGGGATTTGGCTAGATGAGAAAATAGTAGACCCAATAATGAGGAAGGTTTTTTTTTTTTTTGGAATATTTTTACCAATGTGCCTTCCTTCCTTCCTTCCCTCCCTCCCTCCTGCCGTCCCTTTCTTCCTTCTTTCCTTCCTTCCTCTTTTTTATTTTTTAATTTAATCTTATTTTTAGGCAAGGCTTTGCTATGTAACCCAGGCTGGCCTCAAACTTACCAACCTTCTGTTTTAGCCTCCTGAGTGGTGGGATTACAAGTATATACCACCATGCCCAATTTCTCAGCATATTTAAGGAAGCTATGAAACTTTATTTTTCAACTTTTATTTATGTTTACCAAAACTTGGGATGGGTTTTGTATAATCTTTCTTTCTTTCTTTCTTTCTTTCTTTCTTTCTTTCTTTCTTTCTTTCTTTCTTTCTTTCTTTCTTTCTTTCTTTCTTTTATTTTATTTTTTTGTCTCTTTGAGACAGGGTCTCCCTGTAGCCCCACCTGACCTGGAACTCACTATGTAGACCAAGCTTGCCTTGAACTTACAGAGATCGTCCTGCCTCTGCCTCCTGTGTGCTGGTACTAAAGGCATGCACCACCACATCCAGCGTTAATTTATCTTTAAATACAGAGTCCTGCTGCTTTTTCTTTCAATGTTTTTGTTACTAATCCTTCTTCATTCATGCTCCTAACACTGTCACCCAGATTGTGACAGCATCCTATTTCTTTTCTTCATTATTTCTCTCACTTTTATGAACTTAAAAAATTATTGTCTATTGTGTATTTTTCTCTTTATTATCTAAATGATGTAGATTGGGGCCAGAGAAATGACTGAATGATTAAGAATATGCACTGCCTTGAAGAGGACCCTATTGGTTCTTAGCACCCACATGGTGACTCACCACCACCTGTAACTCCAGCTCCAGGAGATCTGACATTCTCTTGTGGCTTCTGCAGGCACTGCACTTGTGCATGCAAACACATACACAAATATACACATAATTCTAAAAAATAAAAATAAGTTTCAAAAAGTGATGTTGATCATTCTTGGTACTGTTCACTGTCTCCCTCAGTTCATACCAATGGCCTCCATTAATCAAGCATTATTTATTGAGCAACTACAGTATGCTAGGCACTATTTTAGGAACTGTGATTATGTAATTCTACATACATTATTTTTTCATAACCATAACATATATGTATGTATATAACTACCAGTTATGATTGATTTATATCATACCTGTACTTTACCTGCTATGTTGCCCATTCTTGGAGTGCAGTAACTACATATGGCATTTCTTTCAAATCTTCTCTGAGTTTCTTATTACTATGCATGCTGAAACATTTAATGAACATTGTTTTCCCTTCACTTCAGGACTGGCAATGTGTACAGTCAAAAGGCTGCTTCTTTTTAGAAGAAGATGGTGGAATCATTAGGCATCGGTACAAAATGCAAATATCTCAAAGATCCATGGTTTATCTAACAATTAAGCCGTTAAATCTGAGTCAAGTTGAAGGCAAGTTTAAAGTTTTCTTTTATCTTTTCAAGTGTCAGTTTATATCTTCTCTGAAAATACTGTATATTTTCTAGTCTTAGTTAAGAAAATCTGCATAGGAAATATGTGGTTGTATTTTTTATAAATTTCATTGTGTCTATTCATTGTATATAGAATTGTGTTAATAAGTACATTTTGATACAACTGTTTTGGACATTGAGTATGTCCCCCCAAACTGCCTTACTTTCCCATTTCTCCCTCTCCCTCTTCCCATAAGCACCTTTTATTACTTTAAATAGTTTCATTTCAACTTGCATGTCATATATACGTACATGATCTTATATATCTATATAAAATCTAGGAACCTTAGCATTAAAAATGAGTTTTTCTGTATGAAACAGTATATTTTAAAATGAAATGGAGATCTTTTTTAAAGGTTAAAACCTCATTCAATTTTATGTCTTATAGGGTTTATACTGAGTTCAATATTGTATAACTGTATTAATTCAACTGTGAACCTAAAAATTTACAGCCAGTTTTGAAAGAGATGCATCTTTGCTCCAGAAATTATTATTGAATATGTTACTGGTGTAATGAAACGCTTGCTTCTTCTAATGTAGTTATTAAATAAATAAACTTTTAAAAATCTAGGAACCTGCACTGGCATGATGGCTCAGCAGATAAAAGTATTTGTCACAAAAGCCTGACACCCTGAGTCCAATCTTTGGAACCCATGCAAAGGTGGAAAGAGAACCGACTCTACCAAGTTGCCTCTGACCCCCACACATGCACCATGCCATGCTTCCTCTACATACATCACACAAGTACACACACACACACACACACACACACACACGCATACATACACACACACTAATAATCTTTTTAAATCTAGGAACTGCAATTGAGAGAAAACATACAATAATTCACTTATAACTATCTCCAGTTCCATCTATCTTCCTACAAACAACATAATGTTAGCTTTTCTTTATGGCTGAAAAAATGTTCTCTCTCTCTCTCTCTCTCTCTCTCTCTCTCTGTGTGTGTGTGTGTTTACCACAGTTTTTCTCTCTGTCCTCTGTTGCAGGATATGTAGGTTGGATGAATATAGGTATAGTAAACATTGATGTGCAACTATCTCCATGATATGTTGACTTGAAGTCCTTTGGGTAAATACGCAGGATTGATAAATTTGTCATATAGTATATCTAGTTTGAGTCTTTTGAGAATCCTCCATATTGATTTCCATGGTGGCTGGACTAACTTATATTCCGCCAGCAGTGCATAAGGGCTCCATTTTTCCACAGCCTTGCCAGCATTTGTTGCTGTTTGCTTTCTTATGATTGGTATTCTAACTGGGGTGAGACAGAATCTCAGTGTAGTTTTAATTTGCATTTCTCTGATGGTTAATGAGGTCGCCATTTTCTCATATGTTCATTGGCTTTTGTATTTCATTTTTTGAGAACTACCTATCAATTTCATTAGCCCATTGGTTGTTTGGTTTGTTTGATGTCTTAGTATTTAATTTTTAAAATTTTATTTTTTTATTTTTTGTGAACTTAACAAAACATATTTTAATTGTATTTAGATCCCCTCCTCTATGTACACCACTTCTTTCTAACCCCCACCAAGTTTCTGTAATTCTCTCTCTCTCTCTCTCTCTCTCTCTCTCTCTCTCTCTCTCTTTCTTAAGGCCTGTAAAGTCATGTTTGTGTCTAAAAAAGTCCTTTGATGTGGGTTCATCCACTGGATCCTGGTCAGCCTACTAAAAGTCTCACCTTTAAATGGACTGAATCTCCCCTTCCCAGCAGTCATTGGTTGTCAGTAATTACTCCAGTAAGGTTGGGGTTTCTTACTAAAGTGTGTGTTGAGATTTTGTCTGGCTTGAGCTTATGTGGGACTTGTGCCTGCTGTCAGCATTACTGTGAGTTCATGTGAGTAAATGGCCAGCTGTCTGCAAAGTGTTTACTTTTTTGAGTTCTTTATCTCACCTCTCAGACGTAGTTAGCAAAGATTTTCTCCCATTCTATATACGTTGTCTTTTTACTCAATTAACTCTCCTTTGCTGTACAGAAACTTTTTAATTTTGTGAAGTCTAGTTTGCCAGTTATTGGCTTTAATTCCTGCTTGACTAAAATCACATTGAGAAAGTCCTTGCCTATGCCTATATACTTCAAATGCTTTCCTTTTTCTTCCAATAATTTTCCCTTAGTATCCATTTTTATTGAATTTTTGTGCATTTCATACATCATCATATTCAAACCCCCTTCCCTATCTTCTGCACCCCCCCCAGACCTCATGCATTCTGTCATACATGCAAAAGCCTATTGAGTTAAATGTGTCCCCAGATGTCCTTTGATGTGAGTAGCCTGGTCAGCCTATCTAGTATTAATCCCCCAAAGAAGACCAACTCTCCCTCACTCAGCACCAATCAGGCACCAATAGTTCCTTGGCTAATTTTGGGGCCTCCTGCCCATTTACCTAGTTCTGTGCTGCTGTTTTTTGTCTAACTGAGTTTGCATGAGTCTTGTGCAGGCTGTCACCATTGCTGTAAGTTCATATGAGCAAGTTCCCAGAAGCCTGGAAAACTCTGTTTCCTTGTGGTGACCCACCACCCCTGTCTCTTACCATCTTTCTGCCTCCTATTTCATAATGGTCCCTGAACCCTGGGTGGCTGAGGTTTAATATAGGAGTCCTTTCCAGGGACATGCACTCTGCATTCTTCTGTTCTCTACATTTTAGTCAATTATGACTCCCTGAATTAACTGTTCTCTGCTGCATGAGGAAGCTTCATTGGTGAGAGTTGAGAGATGCATCAGTATTCTCTCTACCCACTCTTCCACTATGTTCCATGAGCCTTAGGTGTAGAGGTTGCATTGTAGATGTGTCACTTAGGGCTGCGCATCTCACAGACACTTATTCTCTATGTTTGACCAGTTGTGGAACTCTGTAATAGTCTCTATCTTTTGCAAAAAGAAGCGTCTAGGGCCAAGGCAGAAGTGGAGGCAGCATGTAACTAACATGCTAGCTACGCTGAGTGGGTGTGGGAGCATGTAGCTGTTCTCAGTGTAGGGGCATCAAGACACAGTGGGCGTGGCCTGGCTCTGAAGGCTATTCTGGGTCTCAGGCAGGAAGAGCAGGAGGGGATCTAGGCCTAAGGTAGAAATGGAGGTAGCCTGGGGAGAGGGATAGCTGAACAGAGTGCAGAGGAATCAAGACACAGTGGGTGGAGTCTGACTTACAAGGGTAGTCTGGAGGTCTCAATCAGTCTAGGGCCAATGTGGAGGTGGGGGCAATGAGTGGAGGGTCTTACTCAGACTGGGTGTGGGAGCATGTAGCTGACCCTGGGGGTAGGGAATCTCCCATAGTTTTTTTAAAATTATTTACTTTTTTTTAATTTTATGTGTATGAGTTTATTCCCTGCATGTATGTGAGTGCACCCATGTCATGCAGTACCGCAGAGGTCAGAAGAGGGTGTCTGTCAGATTCCTCTGGAACTGGAGTTAAGGATGGTTCGTAGGCGCCATGTGGGTGCTGGGAATTGAACCTAGGTCCTCTGCAAGAGCAGTCAGTGCTCTTAACCACTGAGCCATCTCTCCTGCCCCTCTCCCATAGTTTTTATTTAAAGAACTTTAATCCATTTGTGTGTTTTTTTAAGTATAGGATAACAGATAAAGTTCTAGTTTCAGACTTCTTCATGTGGATGTTCAGTTTTCCCAGCACCATTTATTGAAGAAGGTATCTTTTCTCCAATGTATAATTATGGCCTCTTTGTCAAAAATCAGATTGCTGTAGCTCCATGTGTCTATATTTGAGTCCTCTATTTTATTCCATCTATCTTACATTCCTGTTTTTGTACCAGTACCATGCTGGCTTTGTTGCTATGGCTCTGTAGTATAACTTGAAATCAGAAATGCTGATATGTCCAGGAGTATTCTTTTTGCTCAGAATTGCTTTGGATATCTGGGGTCTTTTGTCCTTCCTTATGAATTTTAAGATTGTTTTTTTCTGTTTCTGTAAAGAATGACATTGGAATTCTGACAAGTGCTGCATTGAGTCTATAGATTGCTTTTTGTAAGATACCACTGTTTTTTTTTTTCTTTTTAAGTGTATGCGTGTGTTGCCTGCATGTAAGTCAGTGTACCCGTGTCATGCAATGCCCGTGGAGGTCAGAAGAAGCTGTCGAATCCCCTGGGATTGGAGTTGCAGACAGTTGTTAGCTGCCATGTGGATACCGGGATTTGAACCCGGGTCTTCTGCAAGAGCAACCAGTGTTCTTAACCTCTGAGCCAAAAGATACCACTTTTTACACTTTTTACAGTATTAATTCTTCCAATCGATGGGTGGTCTCTCGATCTTCTGGTGTTGTCTTCAATTTCTTTTTTAGTGTTTTAAAGTTGTTGTTGTAGTTGCCTTTTGCTTCCCTGTTAGGTTTATTCCATGAATTTTGTTGTTAGTGTTTGAAGTGATTGTGAGTGTGGTTGTCTTCTTTTCTCAGCGTGTTTGTTATTAGTATATGGGAAAAAATTGGGGTTTGTATGTATATTTCCACTTTGCTAATAGTGTTTATCAGATTTAAGAATTTTTTCTCTTATTCATTCAATGAAAAATGTTTATAAAAGTGCTTCTTTTAGATATTTTTATGATTGTTCTAAATCAATCTATGTTTATGAACAAATATTTTCTGCCACTAAAATAGAGATTTTGAGAAATTTCACTTCATATATTGCAGAATACTTACAATGTTTGATAGTTGATGCTAACTCAGTTTTTTAAAAATATATTTTAAAATTTTATGTGTATGAGTATTTTGTGTTCTTGTATGTTAGTGTACCATATGCGTGCAGTGCCTACAAAGACCAGAAGAGGGTGTTGGATCCTCTGGAACTGTAGTTATGGATAATTGTTAACTGTCATCTGAGTTCTGGGAACTGAACCCAGGTCCTCTGCAAAAGCAGCCAGTACTCTTAACTGCTGAGCCACTTCTCCAGCCCCTTGTTGATTTTTTTGACACAGAGTATTACTGTGTAGCCCAGGCTGGCCTCAAACTCATAATCCTCTTGCCTCAGCCTCCCAAGGAGTAGACCACCACCCCTACTGGGCTCAGTAGTTGACATTTTAAAATAACAATTACAATAGCAATTATTAGGATGACTGTGAAATTCAGTAGTCTCACAGAAAGAATTCCTTTATTCATTTATTCATCAAATATTTGAGATTCAATTTAGGTGTTTAGGATATGTCAGAGTATAAAGGACCAAAATACCTACTCTCAAGAATTTACATTTGAGTGGGGGAAACAATAAAGGAGTAAATGGTAAAGGAGTTGGGGATAGAGGAGCATGTGGTCTCGCACTGGGAGGCTGAAGCAGGAGAATCATGAGTCCAATCATCCTGAGATACATAGTGAGACATTGTCTCAAAAAATTTAAAAAGTTGGGAAAAAAAAACTGAGCATGCCAGTGCATGCCTATAATCTCAACTCTCAGGAGGCTGAAGCCAGATGATTATCCCCCCAGTTCAAGGCCAGTCTGATCTCTATAATGAGTTCCAGGCCAGCCAAGGCTTCAGGATGAGTCAGTCTCTGTTTCTTTCTCTGTCTCTTTTTCTTTCTCTCTCCTCCATATGTGTGTATATGTGTGCATGCATATACATACACACATATGTACATATACATATGTGTATAATAAAAATAAAATGGGAAGAATGAGATGCATAGAAGGAAAAGGAACGCTGAGAAATGTGAATTGCCATTGGAATAGTGTCAGTAATATATGATGCATCCAAAAGGTGACGGAGGACAAAGGCTTTTAGGGAGAGTGTGTCAAGTATCAACTACTGCAAACAAAATACTCCCAAATTCAGTGACTTGAAACAATTAAGCATTCATTCTTTCATGAATCTGTGATGTGCTGGGCAGATCTTTTAGTCTGAGCCAGGCGTAGCTTCTCTGTGGAGGGTTTTGCTTATGTTTGTTGTCAGCTGCAGGTTAGCTGGTGGTGGCTGGCTTTGCTGATGTTTTCTGGGTTTTCCAATGTGTGGCGTTTCAGCTAGGACAGCTTGACTCTGCCTCATGTGATCTTTCACCTTCCAATAAACTAGACTATACTTTCTTATTTTGTAATGGGGAGCTAAGAAAAAAGCAGAAGCACAGTAAGATTTCCTGAGATCTGTGGGCTCAGAGCAGACACAATGTTATGTCTCTTACATTCTGTTATCCGTAAGTCACAGAAGTCCAAATCAGTAGGGCTGGGAAATCAACTTGATCTATTGATGGAGAAGCTGTCCAATCCTATTGTAAAGGACTGTAAATCCAGAGAAGGCAGCTATTTTGCTGCCTTTCATAGGAGGCGAGGGAGTAAATATTATTGCTGTGGAAGGGCTAAAGAGTGAGGAGGTGGCAGAGCATTCCAGATAGAAGAAATACTAAGGGGCTCTGATGTAGAGTATGCTGGTGTTAGAATGGAAACTATGAGGCTGGAGAGACGGCTTGGTGGTTAACAGCACTTACTGTTCTTGCAGACAATTCAAGTTTGGTTCCTAGCACCCACATGGCAGCTCACAACTACATATAACTCCAGTTCCAGGAGACTGACAATGCCTGGCCTCTACAGACTTCTGCGCACATGTGGCACACATAAACTCATGCAGGCAAACACACATAGACATAAATAAAATAGATCTTAGAATGGAAGTTAACCTGTCTGGAATGAAGTAAGTATGGAGAAAGTAGTAAGGGATAAACAAAGATCAGAAGAAGCAAAATATAACCTGGAAGAGATCTTTCTCCCCATAATGAGAACTTGAGTTTTTACTCAGAGAAATGAAGTTTTCACCATGTCTGGAGTGAAATTTTTTTCTTTGCAGTTCTTTAAGCAGTTTGAGTGTATATCTGAGTTTTGTTACTGATGCTATTGTTGGTGGGCTTTTTGTCTGTTTACTTTGGCATTTGTCCCCTTTGGGGTTCTTAGAGTTTCTTGAATTGGTGGCTTGTTGCCTTTCATTACTTTTACAAACTTCTGCTCTATTTCTTCACATATTTCTTCTGCCTTCTTCCTTTTCCACTGGTGTGATGTCTGACATACCTCCTGTGCTCCAACACCGAAAAGCCAGGGCATACAGCATCTTATCTCTCCTTGGGAAAGTGCCTTTCGGGATACCTAGCCTCAGTTCTCATAAGTTCAAGAAAAGCTAGATCTTTGTAGTTCATATACTGTTTCTTGATAGAACAACATACTTTTGGCTTTATTACACTAGAGATTTCTTAGTAGAGGAGGTATATAATCTGACCTGTGAATGCTTTCTTCCTCCTGTAATCTACAACAGATAAACCAGTGCTAAATCCCATCTCTTCTTGAAAGACTCTGTTTTTATTTAGATTTTTACTTGGTTTTCCTGCAATTTAGCTGTTGTTTTATTTTTTATTTGTTTTGGGCAAGGATGGGGTACTGGGGATCTGGTATTGGATAGCTTCAATTGTCAATTTTACTCAGGTGGAGAGAGAGAACCTCAGCTGGGGAATTTCCTTTATCAAATTGGCCTGTGAACATGTCTGTGAGGCATTTTCTTGATTGTTGAGTGATGGGAGGGCCCAGCCCACTGTGGGTGGTGCCACCTCTGGGCAGATGGTTCTGGGTTGTGTAAGAAAGCAGAGCAAGCACAGACCGGAGGAACAAGCCAGTAAGCAGCTGTCCTCTGAGATCTGTGCTTCAGTTGCTGCATTGAGGTTCCTGCTCTGGCTTCCCTTAAAGATGAACTGTGATAGGGATGTGTAAGCCAAATAAACCCTTTCCTCCCCAAGTTGGTTTTGGTGAGAGTGTTTTATCACAGCAATAGAAAACAAAGTAGGTCAGTATGGAACCCAGGACCTTATGCACGTTAGGTAAGCATTCTGCCTTAGAACCACATGCCCAGCCCTTGCAGCTCAGCTTTTGATGATTTCAAGAAACTTTAGGATTTTTAGAAACTGAGTATGGAGCAAAGGTTTTTCATAATGTGATATATAGAAGTGTGGGCTATTATAGATATTAAAATGTTTGCATATAAAAACGGAATGCACATTTCTTTTTTTTTTAAGTAGGAGTATGCGGTGATTGCTTGATTTAAGGTAATTTTAAGGTGATTTTGTTGATGATGTTGTCGTTGTGTGTTTCTAGGAAAACTGTCTCCCTGGTTATCAGTTGACACAGCCTTGTATATTCTTGCAGAAAATGAGAACAAAGCAGATCTACAGCTTGTGTGTTTTACTGAACTACGAAATAGAGAAGTATACATATTTATTTTCTCATGTTTAAGGCTGTAGTATGAACTCAAGTTTGTGAAAAATAACAGCTTTCTATATTTATTTTTAGTATTTGAACTCAGATGTTCTTTCAATAAAAGTATTTGCAGTGCCTAACCATTATGGATATTATGTTTTATTAATTGTGAAGGGTTTTTTTTTTCTTATTTTCTGAGTTTTTAGGATTAAGGATTGATTGAAAGCATTGACTGCATAACTAAGTGGCCTGACACATTGAGTGTGAACATTTTTGTTACTATACTCTCTAGACTCCCCCAGTTTTCAGATGTTGGAAAAGGTTGCTTTTGATGTTTGTCTTATGCTACTGCTGCAGAACTGAAGAAACTTCACGATTACCATCCTCAGGCTTAACTCATACTGCAGGCTTCAAAAATAGTCTGATATGAAGAAATGCTTTTTAAATGTTTTTGTATGTTACCCTTGGGATTGTTCTGATCTTTTCTAATTATATATTTACTCAGAGGCCAAATATGTGAGAAGATACATAAATGTGGCTATTTATTTTATGAGTACTACAAAATATAACTTGCTGCCCAACAACAGAAATAATACTATTCAAGGACTTACTACAATATCACATTTAATCTTTATATAGGCCCAATGACAGACAAACATTTCCCTGATGGAATGTTATATAAAAGTCTTTATTGTAGGCTTCCTAACAGATAAGGATAGTTATAGGCAAGAAACAAATAAAATGGCAGGAGTTAATGTTTTTACTAAACTCTTCTTCAGAACTGACTACAAAGTGAAGTTCAAGATAAAGCAATGTCTGAAGCAATAGCTTTTTCCATTTTGTTTTGAGTAAAATGACTTTCCTATTAGATTTCATGTGTAAAAACAGTCATAGCAAGGCTATGTTTGAATTTTCTATTTACTTTTTTATAGGCTTCTGTTTATCTGTAATATGTCATATTTACAAAGGCTTTTTATTTGTATTTTTAGTTTCACAATTATTTTCTTTAAGAAGAGTTTTGTACCTGTTAAAAACTTCCCAGTTGCCATCCATAGTGGCAGTTCAGGGTAATATGTGGAGAATAAGGAGGTTCACGGATTAGGAAGCAGCAAGATATTTCTAACTCCTGTATGTCAGCCTGTATATGGCCAGTCTAAACAATTATGATTTCCAAAACATGGATTTGGTAGTTTAGTCTTCACAGTGATCCTTAGTTACATTGATTGGTTCTTCTACCAAAATAGGATTGATAATTTTAGGGTAATTCTAATCCTCAGATAATTAGGGCAAGAATCTAGAATTCAGATGAGCAACTTATTTTGTTTATGAACTTCCAGGATGACCTAAAATCTACCTAGGTTTTGAAAGGGATATTTGAACACAATGACAGAATCTCCTTAGGCTAGTCTGAACTGGATGGCAAATAACCATATTTAGTTATTATACACAACAAAGAAATATGTAGAGTTAGGATATTCAAAAGACAATCCCTGGTTTTTATAAGAAATGCTTAGGCTCCAAAAAGCTCCTAGGAAGTACTTAGGGAGATATCATTGCTTTTTTTTTAATGGACCATGCAAATAAAATGTTTTGCTATGCAAATATCTGATACTCATTATAAATATCCAACATTTCATAGGAAATGAATTTCATACAAGGCAGGTTCTATCTAGGATTCCACATCTTGTTATAGACCATACCACGTAAGTAATTTTAACAACCCATCTAGAGGATGTTATGCTAAAAAATATAAGCAAGGTCCACAAAGACAGGTACCTCATGATTTCACTTACATATAAATTCTAGAAAAGCCACACTTCCACAAGCAGAGCTGCATTATATAACTTTCCTGTAATACCAGCACTGGGAAATTAGAGGCAGGAGGACTACAAATTCAAGACCAACCTGTCCAAATAGTAAGCTCAAGGTCAACCTGAAACTACATAGTGAGACCCTGTCTCAAAAAGTCCCAACCAGCCAAACAACAACAGCAGAAAAAAAGAGTAACATTCCAATCCGTGTAATTCAACCTTTAAAAATATGTTTAACTCACACAAATAATAAACTTTATATATTTAACTTTCATTTAGTATCACTGAAATATTATTTACAAATCATATATTCCTATTTCAATCATAGCAGGAAACCATTACTTCTTTTCTTTAAGGAGCTCATTGTTTGCATAAAAAATCCTAAGAGTAATCTCTCCTTCCTCTTAAGATATTTGTATCATGGAAATTTTTTATAATTATTAGGGATGACTTATAAGATAAACAGCTTCTTACCTATTCTTGTTTTTAGGTGGTTTTGAAAATATATAAAGAGCGATATCTTCTGGTCTTTACTAAGGCTACAATTAAGAGAAAGAATTTGAAGCCTATAAAAGATTGATAGACAATAACAGAATTGATAAATGCTGATTTAAAATAAATCATGTCAAATTTCTCTTTCAGAAGAAAGATTAAAAGTCATTAAGACTTGTGGTTATTTGTTTTGTTTAATTCTTTTGAGAAAAGGTGTTTGGATGGACTGGCGAACTAGGACCAGGAACTTACTGGTTAATTCCTTCCACAACTGGCTGTAGGCTAAGGAAAGAAATAAAACCAATAACAGAAGAAGCCCAGCTTGTGTATAGAGATGAAACAGGGGAATTATTTCTTACAAATGAATTCAGGTAAGTTTTGTTTAATAGAGCTGAAACTATGATATATAGACTACAATACAAATAAGTTGGCTGTCTTTGCCCATTTGATCTAGATAACTCCTACCCATGTCCTTCTATTTTAATTCATTAACTCAACTCTTGTTACAACATGAATGAACATGGAAGCTATTATGCTTAAAAATATAAACAGGTCCACAAAGACAAATGCCTCATGATTTTACTTACATGTGGAATCTAAACATTTTCAAAGCTATATTTCCTTTGAAAGCTGTCCTCAAAAATGTCTTTAGATTCCTTGTATTAAAAATTAGAAATAATTCTCAATTTTTATAACTTAGGTCAACTTTATCAGACATATTTGAAATAATTGATTTAGATGGAAATGGTCTTATTAGCCTTGAAGAATACAATTTTTTTGAATTGAGAACAAGTGGTGAAAAATGTGATGAGGATGCTTGGACTGTCTGTAGAGGTAAGCACTTTTCTTTATTTTAATGGACGTGTAGAAAAATGTATGGTATCCTTTTATTTCAAGAAGCAATAAACCAACTTTTCCATGGAATATTATTATGAAATTTAGGACAACGTAAAAACATTAGCATTGTTTGTAAATGGTAACTTAAGCATAGGGTTGGAGAGATGGCTCAGCTTTAAGAGCACTTACTGCTCTTGCAGAGGATCCAGGTTTAGTTCCTAGTACTCACATGGTAGTTCACAATTGCCCATAACTCCAGTTCCATCAGACTTCTGGCATCCACAGCACCTGCATTCACATGGTATACATAAGCACATGTAAGTGCACACACATACACATAAATAAAAGATAAATCTTTATAAAAAAATTCTTTTCCTTAAAGTGATAGTTGATAATACTTGTTAAAATATGTGAATTACTTGATCGTTATTTCAGCTTTTGGAGGCTTAGAAGATAAAAAAAAGTTTAAAAAAATCTTTTATTTACTGTTTGACAATTTCATACATGTATACTATGTTTCTTTCTTGATCATATCCCTTGCAACCTCCCAGCATTTCCCACTTCCATGACCTTTCCTTTTTTTTCAATTAAAAAATTTTACAACACTGAATCAGATTAGTACTGCATGCTGGAACATTGACTAATCTTACTTCACCTTGTGCAAATCTTGTGCAGGTAACCATACTGTAGTGAGTTCAAGAATGCAATGGCCATGTCACGTTCAGAAGACAACATTCCACAGCACTCCTTCTCATCCTCCAGCTCTTACATTCTTTCTGCCTCTTCTTCCACAATGTTCTCTAAGCCTTGGGTTGGGGGAAAGTTCCATGAATGCTCAACAGTCACTTATTCTCAGCATTTTGATTAGTTATGAGTCTCTGCATTCACTGTTGCCCACTACAGAAGGAAGCTTCTCTGGCTAGGGTTGAGAGCCACGTTAATCAATGGGTATAAAGATAAATATTTAGGAGGTAGTTTGAAAACATATCCATCTAGTAAAACAACAGTAGATTCCCCACTAAGGCCTATGAACTCCAAAGCTATGAGCTTTTGACTAAGTAACAGGAATGAATTTTCTTCTGTTTAATATAATCAATGATAATATATAGATCTTTAATATTAAACTTAGATTAATAAAGTTATAATACACAGCACACGTTTCATCTATAAGATATAATTATCTTGTAACTTTAATGATATAATTTTTCATTTTTTAATTTATTGTCACTACAAAAGTATATTGTCATTCCAGAAAAGTAAATAATAATCAAGATTTTCTTTTGGTGTGCGTGTGTGTACTAAGGTCAGAGGAACATGCTAAGTGTCATTGTTTACCTTATTGCTTTGACAGGGTCTCTCAGTAAACTTGGAGCTAGAATGGCCGCCAGAACTCCTCAGCAATCCTGTCTTTAGAACATGGCCACACCCATCTTTTTTATGCAAATACTGAGATCTCAGTTCAGGTCCTCATGCAAACGTTCTTACCTCTAAACCATCTCCCAGCCTCTAATTAAGATTTTCTTATGGCAAAATTGTTAGTAAGTGAAAGTTTATTTAATGAACTAGCTGAGTTAACATTTTTGAGAGCTCATCATGTCCCAGGTGCTGATGTGAGAACATCTATATATGAACTCTGAGGTAGTGTTGTTATTGCTTTTTTGGGAGGGGGGGTCTTTTTGAGTTAGGGTCTCTCTGTATCCCCATCTGGCCTGGAACTCACTATATAGACCAGGCCTCAAACTCACAAAGATCTATCTGCCTCTGCCTAGTAAGTACTGAGATTAACACTTTTGGGGGACTTAAAAGTACTTTTGTTTTTATTTTATTAATAGATTTTGTTTTGTTTTGTTTAATTTTGTTTAGTATTTTTATTTTAAGTGTATGCATGTATTGCCTGCATGTAGGTAAGCGCACCCATGTTGTGCAATGCCCATGGAGGTCAGAAGAGGCTGTTGGATC